AGCTGGTTGTTCTTTCTGCCTTGAGTATCTCCCCATACCAGTACATCCTCTATTCAACTGTCAAAGTGATCTTCTTCAAATCCAGATCTGACCAACCTTTTCCTTCTCCTCTATTCAATCAACTCTAGAGGCTACCTATTGCCCCCAGGTTTAAATATAAAATCTCTGTTTGGTTTTTAAAACCCTTTACACTGTGGATTCTTCCTTTCAAGTATTCTTACACTTTAGATCCCACCACCCACTCTATGATATAGTGACTTCCTTGCTGTTCCTTGCACTAGACACTCCCTAACTCCTGACTGATCACAAGTACTCCTCTCTGCTCTAGATCTATGACCCAGAACTGTCTATGAGCAATGAGAGGTGTAGGGGCATTCAGGGAGAACTAGTACTCTGGTGTGAGGGCTGCCAAGCCCTTTCAGGCCTGCTTTCCACCTTTGGTGTCTACCTGATCCACCTAACTCTCACCTGTGACTCCAAGAAACTGTAGTATGTGCAGTGAGCACCCCCTGGTAAATTGTTTTGGCAAACAGGCTAAACTAGAGTGAGGGTAACTGAGGGGTCTCAAAACTTTTGGTGAGTTGGGGGGGTATTTATCCCAAGCATGTGAAGATTTCCCCTGGTGGAATGGGCAGATGAGGGCAATTTGTTCCAATGGCCAGGAAGACAGCTGAAGTAGGCACTGTGGAGCACTTAGAGCTTGGTTAGACATTGAAGATGCCAAGGTTATCCACTGCATCTCAAGCCATCACCAGTCATCTTGACTCTGTCCTACTACTGGACTGTGATGACTCTGGAAGAGAGAATGAGGCTAACGACTGTGCAACTCTGCCTCACTTAAATCCAATTTATGCATGAATCAAAAGACATCACCCATACACTCAAAAATACACTAAAAAAACTTCCATGTAAGGAACTGATTGAATGTATAAGAATAAGAGTAATTTCCCCAAATAATAAATGATCAAAGGGACACAAACAATTTTCAAAGGAGTCAAAGAATGAAATTCAAGCTGTCCATAGCCATATTTTTAAAAAATGCTTCAAATCACTGATTAGATAAATCAATAATTAGAGAAATGTAAATTAAAAGAAATTTTGAGTTTCTACCACACACATCAGATTGGCAAAGATGACCAAAAAATGAAAATGACAAATATTAGAGGGGTTGTGGAAAAACAGGCAAGCTAATGAACTGTTGGTAAAGTTATGAATTAATTAGTTCAGAGATTATGGAAAGCAAGTTAGAACTATGTCCAAAAAGTTACTAAGTTGTGCATATTTTTTGACTCACAATAGCTATGCCTATATTTTAAAAATAACAAAGAAAAAGGTAAAGGGCCCATATGTGAAAAAATATTTATAGCAGCTCTTTTTTTTTTTAACAGAACTGGAAAGCAAAGGAATGGCCTTCAATTGGAGAATGCTGAAAAGAATGATGGGATATGAATGTGATGGAATACTATTGTGCTGCAAGAAATGATGAAAAGAATGGTTTCAGAGGATCTGGGGAAGACATATGAGCTGAGGCAGAGTGAAATGAGTAGAACCAAGAGTAAACAAGCCAACTCAATAAGCAATTATTATTTATTTATTTAAACACTTACTTGGTGCCAGGAACTGTTGCAAAGTACTAAGAATATAAATTCAAGCAAAAAGACATTCCCTCCTCTTAAGGAGCTTATATTCTAATGGGAGAAGACAACATAGGCAACACATAAAAGGAAGCTGAGAAGTGTGTATGTGTGTGTGTGTGTGTGTGTGTGTGTGTGTGTGTGTATGTGCACTCATGAAGAGGGAAGGGATGGATTGAACTTCTAGGGTGAAGAAGCACAGGAAGATAGTGGAGATATTTGAGAAAGTTAGGAGTAGAGCCCAGAAAGAAATGAAGATATGGCTGGTCTGGACACTTTCCTTAAAATGGAAGTTTTGGGAGGACCTGCCCAATCAGAGGAAGGGACTCCAAGAGCAGAGGTAAGAAGGTGAAAAAGGTGAGAAGGCCATGAGTAAAGTGAACTTCCAGAGTGAGGAGGCCAAAGGGGAGAACGATTTGCACAATAACAACAACATTGCAAAGACAAACATCTTCAAAACAACTTAAGAATTCCAATCAAAGGAGATTGATGGTAAAGTATGCCACTCACCTTTGAACAGACAGTTGATGGATTCAGAGTGAGACGTTTTTTATTTTATTTTTTTTGGTAAATGGCCAATGTAGGGATTTATTTTACTTGACTATGCATAGTTGTTACAGAGGTTTTGTTTTTATGTTGTTTTTTTCAATGGGAGGGAGGCAAGGTGAAAGAAAATAGATTTTTGTTAATTGAAAAAATTTAACTAAAAAAAAGAACTTGAGAAATCCCATGTTGATCAATTCTCTTGTCTTTGTCAACATTTACCCTTCCCCCTAAACCAAAAAATATCACTGTCACTGAGGTCCCACCACAACATAATCTCTTTGAGAAATAGACCCTACCAGGCATATCAGAGAAGAAATAAAAATGTCTGGACCTTCAGTCTGGTTCAACTTCTTAGAAGGATTGATCAGCTCAAGTCTCATGAAACATATCAGGAGAATTTATCAGCTCAAAAATTCCCAAACTTCCTGAGAGAATTGGTTACCTCAAATAACACCAAGGAGAATCACCAATTTAAATATCTGTCAAGATCCCAGAAAAATTGCTCAACAAGCTGAGTAGACATAGCCCGGTCCCACAGTTGGATCTTGAGGGACCCCAAATCCTGCTCCTGGCTATTACTTGGTCTGTAACCAGACACTAGGATGCATCCCTCTGTATTTCACTTTCCATTGCTCATCCTTCATTGGTGATCCCATGTGAGTAGTCAAATAGGTAGTACAGTGGATAGAGTGCAGGGCCTGGAGTCAGGAAGACCTGAGTTCAAATTCTGCCTCAAACACTTACTAGCTGTGCAATCCTGGGTAAGTAATCTAACCTCTTCTGTCTCAGTTACTTCACTGTAAAATGGGGATAATAATAGACTTGTCTCCTAAAGTTGTCCTGAGAATGAAATGAGATAAAATTTTTAATGTGCTTTGCAAACTTCAAAAATGTATATAATAATTAGTTATTAATTATTATTACTTTATCATGTCCCAGGGATGGAGCATTCTATCTCTCACTCTTGGGCAGGTAGGGGGTAAAGAATAGGAACTTATGTGGACGCTCCAGGAATCAAGTGGAGAGCTGTTCTGATCTATAGCAAAGACCAACCCTTTCAAAATGTCTGGCTTGCCAGAAGTCTTTTCAAGAGGGTGATCTTAGAAGACCTTTTGAGACTTGATTAGACTTGCCTTTGGTCAGAATCCACTAGGAGATCCCCCATTTTTCTAGGGCCTCATGAGCTTCTTGGATACCCAGAAGCCTGACCCTACGTGTCCTTGTCACTGATCTTCCCCTCCCCCCCCCACTTCCTGCTACCTCCAGATTTCCTCCCCCACCCTCCCTTCAAGGATGAAGAGTTTAGGTTCCTTCCTGTGTCACAGTGAGATAGGTGGGAAGACTTTGGGCCAGGAACAGAAATGACTGTGCTTCCACGTAAGTTTCCATATTCCCAGCTTCATGTGTACAGGGGTAGGGGGAACTGAGCAAGGGAATCACATTCAGTTGGACCCTTGGTGGACAAGTACACTAGGCTGGTGACTTTGGGATCCTAGATGTGCCCTTCAGTGGCAGGGTCATGGGAGGAACCTGGGACTGGGCTAATAGCTCTAGTTATCTTGTGCTGAACTAGTTAAGTGAACCAGTTTCTGTGCTCAGCCCTCTACCCTAATACCTCCTAAGAATTGTCGAACTCTGTGAACACAATGGTACTGGAATTTCTTACCTAAGGATCTTTCCTAAGGATCTCTAAAAAACTGGGAGACCAAGAAAGCTTCTTTACCCCTACCCCTACGCCTCAAACCCAGGAGCAACTTTTACCTCTGGGATTTCCTAAATCTTGCCACTGATCATGCTTGACTTTTCCTGAAGTGCTAGGAGCCATGTAAATGGCTAAAGAGAAATGGGTCCTAAACTAGGGGTCTAGAATTGGAGGGGCAGTGTCCAGGAAAGAATGGGGTTTAAGAAGTTTAAGGAATCAAGACCCTCAATCATAGGAGGCAGAATAGTTGGATTGCCCCCACTTACTCTACTCCCATCATTTTTTCCTTGTGCAGGTGATAAGATCTACCTGAAGGAATTAGGAGGAGGTCCCTATCCATGCAGACTGACCCTGAGCCTCAAGTGCCAAACCTCTGGCTTCCAATTCAAGACAAGTATATTAGGCTGGTACCTTTGGTACCCTGGTCATGCCCCTCGGTGGCTGTCCAGCATTGACCATACATCTGCAGAAACCAATGAAGGCCGCATCATCTCCTCCAGGGAGGACAACAGCAGCCAGATTTTCCTTCAGATTAAGGGCCTGGGCCTCAGGGACTCTGGCCATTATCACTGTGCGAGGAGGGTGGGTGATGAGGTGACACAGACAAGCTGGTCTTTAGTCCTGGGACAGCTGTGACTGTAGAACCTGGTGAGTGCCTCCTCTGTCCCAACCCTAAGGAAATAGGTCGTGTTAAGTCTGGGCCTGGCCTTGAGTCATATGGTCATTCAGTGCTGGTGGCTGGAACAGAACCAGGATCCCCCATTTCTCAGACCCTTCTTTCCACTACATGTGCTGTGTGACATGCAGAGCTAGTATTCTCATTCTGAGCAGTAATTCTGGAGATGGACTGTGGTAGGTCATTGAAGGGATTCGAGTCACACTGTAACAAGGTCCATGGACTTAGGATATCCATGTTTGAAATCTTAAGACCTATGTCAGCCTCAGTGACAGTCAGGAATAGAGAGAATTAGGAAGAAGAAAAGGAGCTGTGGTCCGGGTCCCCGGCATGTGAGCTGGGGACATAAAATTTGGGCTGAGGCAAGGGCTGCATTCTGGTTGTCATAATTGTTTGGTCTCATGAGTTTTTGCCTCACACAAGGGGCCAGGCCAGGACTGAGAGGGCCCAGGAAGTGGGTGAGGTTTGTTTTTCACAGTTATTTGGTGACATGTATGCCTTCCCACAAATGAGTTTGTGTTGCTGGCTGGCAGGGTACTTTGTAGGGGCCAGATGAATGACAGGAATCCATGGTTTGATTGCCGTACCTCGAGCCCCTCTGTCACCCAGTGTGTTCCTGGTGAGGAATCAGGATGCTGTGGCCTGCTTGGTCAGTGACTTCTATCCCAAGGAACTCCATGTGTCCCTGGTCTCCACTAGAGCCTCAGTCTCAGCCCAGGCCCTCACTGTTGCTTCCACAGCCCATGGCACCTACAGTGCCATCCGGTTTGGCAGGGTTGGTGAGAATGACTCAGTAACCTGCTCAGTGCAGCACCTTGGGAAAAAGACCCTTGTGTCCTACCAGCCAGGTATGCACAGCCCCTGCCTGGGCATGAGGGGTGGTACTAAGAAGGGGCATCTTGTGCTTTTGAAGTGTTTTCTGGATCACTAAGGGATAGAAGCAGGGAGTAGGGAGGAATATTGTAGAGTGAGGAGGGGCTCCCTGGCTTGTGGTCCTGGCCTGGGCCAAGGAGTTCTTGGATACAAAGTTTCATTCCAGAGTAGCGTTTCCTTACTGAGAGAGGGGAATCCATAAGTTAGAGATGGGGTTCCTAGCATAGATGATGTGAAAAGCCTGGCTAATGAAGAGTGTTGTAGACTGTAGTGGGAAGTCCTGGGCTCACTGGACCCCAAGACTATGGCTGATGATAGCATTCTGCCTTCAGACTCTGTGAAGCTGGAACCATCCTGCCCTGATCAGGAGTTCACAGGTGGGTTAAAGGTAAAAGGCAAAAGGGTAGAAATAATGAAGTTAATCCTGAACAACTTGATCAGAAGTGAGACTATTCAACCCAGCCTGATAGCCTCTATGTCTCCCATTGTGATAATGTGATAACCCAGGGCTCTTCATGGCCATGGCCCAGGACACAGAAGATTGTACAAACAGCCTAGGCTCTGAGTGTGTGCATCAGGACTCAGTGTGAGTAGTGGTTCAAGGACTGAGGGTGTGATGGCCCAGACCTTCAGACTGTGTGAAGGTCCAAAATTCAGGGAACATGTCAGCCCAGGGCTCAGGATAGGGAGTAGCACATTCCTATTCTCATTGGTTTTCTTAGCTGCTCTGGCTTCACTTATCTCTCTCTATACCTAGTCTGGACCAAATGATCCCTTGATGTTTCCCTGGCTCCTGCCCTAGAATCCTTTGGTTCCTTGACCCTCTCCCATTCCTGGACTATAAGTCTTCATCATAGGTGATCCCCACCTTTTCTCTTCTCTCCTTCTAGTTCTGGAATGCTAAACTTCAATGAAGAAAAGCAGCAAATGTAGGTTGCCTGTGCCCATGGTATTGTTTCTTCCTGCCTCCTCCAGGACCATGCTCCATGGGTCATCCTCCCCTTTCACATATCTTCAAGGTCTCCTTCAATATCGGTTCCTTCCTTCTACCTATAAACAAGTTTGAATCTTTCCCACCCTCTTTACCTTTATTGTCCTTCCAGCTTCCATCCCATCTCTCCCCTCCTCTTAACTGCTAAAATTCTTTTATTGTAGCTTGAATAATTTTTATCCCCATGCCACACTATCTTTCTATTCCTCCTTCTTTCTAACATTGTCCTTATCCCTTTATTCTCACTGTTATCATGTTAGTACAGGTCCTCATTACTACCCTCCAAGACCACTGTGATATTCGAATAGGATTTCCCGCCTCTATCTTCTCTTCTACTTCAATACAATCACCCAGATAGTCTTTTCTACCCCTAGTCTGTCACTTCTTCACTCAAAAATCTTCAGTGGCTATTTGCTCCAAGATAATATTCAAACTCCTTTTTTTCATCTGGTGTTCAAGGCCCTCCATCTGATACCACCTCTATCTCATTCTGATCTTCTTCATGTACACTATGCTCTAGCCAAACTGGTCCACCCATGGCCTACTAAACATACCACATGCCTGTCCACTTCTTTGTATTTTCTCAAGTTGTTCCCTATGGGACTAATAATCCCTTGCTATCTTTCTCTTGTCTTGTTGAATTCTTCCTTATCCTTTTAAGTCCTGCTCAAATGCCACTTGGCATAACTCTTGCTTGATACTCTTGTTTGGTACTGACCTTCTCCCTGTGAACTTATCTAATTATAAAATAAATTATTGAAGCAGAATCCAAGTAGAGGAATAAGTAACTCCTCAGTGTGCTGAGCCTGAGACTACTGTTATGAAGATTGTGCTCATTAATGTCCTGTTTATGTCTTAGATTCCCTTCAAGATGAGAAACTCTCTAAAGGGAGGGACTATAGCTAAGCTAAACATTTTATCTCCCCTATTGCCTAGTGTAGTTCTTAAATTAAAGTTTAGGAAATTTTAGTTTAATGAATGAATGAACAATCCAAGGGTCTATGATAGCCAAGGATTGAGAAAGTGTAACAACCCAAATTTTAGATTGTATGACAGTCCAGAACTCAGGGTACATAGTGTTTCTAAAGTTCCAGGGCAAAATGTGTATGATAACCTGGTGGTAGGAGTAGATGTCATTCCAAGACGGAGTGTGGGAGATAATGTTGTTCTTAGGACATGATTTCCATAGTTCAGATTTGGTAAAAACCAGAGTTCAGTATGTTTGATAACCTAGGACTAAGGGTATATAAGAATATAATACTCAGAGCATGTAATATGCTAGGGCAAAGTGTGTCTGAGATCTCAATGTGTGATTTTACATTTTCTAAAGGCAGCCAACAACAAAGGTTTGCTTTGCTTAGTCTGTGAAAGCCTATCACTGACTCTTCATTAGCTAGGATGATTAATGAGGAAGCAGATAGGAATAATGTTTCTGTCACTTTTTGTAGTCCCAGAGAACGCATGAATTCATGAAAAAAGCTTTCGTCTTACTATGGGCAAAGCACTGGGACTACAAGTAGAAAAATGGAAAGAGTCTCTGCTCTCAAGGAATTCACATTCTAATAGGATGAGACACACATATGGGAGGTTTCAGCTGCAAATCAGATGACTAGGCACCTCGGTACTCAAGGAACAGTGGTAGAACAGATGGTAATGCATCTCTAATGTTGTTTCTCCTGATAAACCCATATCTGTTTCTGCTCCTGGACCATTTGGCAATAAAGACTCTGGTGTCAAGAACTTTCTTTTCTGAGACTTCAGTAGCTGCGGCTGCTAAGGAACCAAGGGCTGCAGCACACTCGGATCAGTTGGTCAATAGTTGGAGGTAATGGTTGAGGTAGTGGCAGTGGTCCAAATTAGCTGGGATATGCTGCCTCCTGTCTCTCCCGCAGGATGCCCCACTGCTTCAGCTAGGTTGGCTTACCTGCCCTGGAGATGTGATGGCTGGTCCCTTCTCCATAGGCGTCATTTTCCTAGATGATGGCTGCAGTGGGTAGGCTAGAAGCAGGGCCAGTGGTCTGGGAGGTACTACCACTCCTGGAGCCCTTGAGCTTATCAACTATTGCTGGCACCTGGTCAGTACATGGGGTGAAAGGCAGTAGTCCCCATCTCCATAGAGATTAGTCCCTTAAATGATGGTATTAGGGGCAGGACTGAAAGCAAGGTTAATGGTCTGGGGGGGGGTGGCGCTGCTAGTCCTAGGGCTCTTGGGCTTGACTATTTCCAAAAGGGTTGAAGTAGAAGTGGTGGTCAATATGGTGGTGGTATTTTGGCTCGATGTCCCTGTCCCTGACCTTGATCCTTACCTTTGCCTCTTAAAGCAGAATCCAAGCAGAGGAATAAATTACTCCTCAGTGTGCTGAGCCTGAGACTACTGTTTATGAAGATTTTGCTCATTAATTTCCTGTTCACAACAATTGCTTTGATCTTCTGAGGTGATTGTTCAATCTCACCCTTTCCTCTCCTACAGTTGGACCTCTCTTTTGATCCCCTTAATCCTTCTCTTCTATCTGTTCCCTTATGCTTCTCTTCTTCTCTCTCCCTTTGTTGGTCTGTGGATAAATTTTAGAAGGTACATGCACTTATTTTTAAAATATTTTGATATTTCAGGATAAGTTATTTCTTTTGTAATCCTATGTATTTTATTTTATGCATTTAAAAATACTGTTCTGACAAGGGGTCCATAGGTTTCACCAAATCGTCAAATGGGTCCATGACACAAAAATGTTAAGAACCTCCATAACAAGTTGTACATAATATATCTGTAGTTCCATGTGCAATCCTCTTCCCTCCACCCCATTCCATCTTGTTACAGAAATGCTTGTTTTATTTCTTCAGTTCAAAATAAAAATTACAAAAAAAAAAAAATACTCCAAACCTTTGTTTTGGACTCTTCTATGCTCCCACAGCCTTCTTCTGTCCTGTTCTCCCTTGTGTTCCAAAAACATATCCTCCATCCCCTGGTATTGCTTTTAGCCCCTTCTCTTCTTTGCTTTCTTTTCTGTCCGCTCTGACTCTTCTCTGTTCTATTAAAATTCTTCAGTTTCCACTGACTCTTCCCACCCCCACCTTCCATTCCTCTGGCCATCTCTTATTTTCCATTTTGCTCTTGTATTTTTTATCCCTTCAGTTTCCCTCTGTTCCCATGGTCTTCTCTTTTGAGACTTATTTATGTTGGACAGGCTGACTGACCTAAAGGGCAGGTGGATAATTTTGGCTTCTGATTTCCTAACCATTGTCTTCTGACTTTTGCTTTTCCAGAAAAATCCTTGGAATGAAGTCTCGGGAGTCAACACTTTGTCCTCAACATCACCCTTGGAAATCCCAGAATGATCCCAGTGACTTAAGTTGCATTTATTCTGCCCCCCCCCGCCCCAGCTACAGAGTAGCCAATCCTGGGTCTGTGTCCCCTGTGATCTGTTCCCCAGATTCCTATTCTAAAATAAAAATGGAAGGGCCCTGTCTACTCTCCTCTGGATTTGTGTGTTGTGGGGGGGAGGTAGAGAGTGGGGATTGGGCATTAACAAGCAACATCACCTAGGTTCCTGTCCCTTGGATTGTAGCAACAACTACTCCTCTTCCTACCTTCCTAACTGAGGCTTATTTTGGAGCATGTACCAGGTAGCAACCTCATGCTCATGAAAGCCTGGTCATGGGGACTGCTAAGGTACAAGGGAAGCTGGGTGTACTGACAAGAGCTAGTCTGTGAATGGGTATGGTAGGAGCAATAGCCTCACCCCTGTTTCCATGCAGGTTTTTCCTTAAAAGGCATTGAGTCATCCTTGAAACTTAATTGGCTAGAGGGAATAAACTCTCAGGCTAGTAAAATCACTTCCTGATCATCTGGATACAAAACAGCCATCCACATAGAGCTTCAGTCACGTTCTTTGTTGATTGACCACCACGAGTTGCTTAGTCAGGGAGCTTCATTCACCAGAATCAGCAAGGAGTGTCCTCAATGCACATCCTTTTTGAATAGCTTTATTTATGGTCAGGTAAATCTTTTTGTTATCATGTCAATTGAGGTCCCCAAGAATAAAGACAAGGATTGTGGTGGAGAGTAAGACTGTGAGCTAGGTACTGAACTTGAGAAAAAAAGAAAGACCTGGGAACGGGTTAAGAATAGTCACTAGGATCTGTTTAGGGTGATAAATCTTGTTGAAGTGAACTTCAAAGGAGATGTTTTTGAGTGATGGTATAAGGAGGAGAGTCTAGAAGGGTTAGTGAGGAGAAAGAATCATTCCTTTTCCTTCTCACTTTGGTGAAGGTATGTCTAGTACTGGAAAAAGTGGCCACTGATGTTGTATCTTCTATGGGAAGAGTGGGATTGAGATTCACGTTTCCCGGATTACAAAGAAATAGGAGAAGCCTGAGAAGAACAGGTCTAATATGAAGGGTGGTTGTTGTCAACCTTACAGAGTTCATTCTAAGAAAGCCAAACAAAATTAGGCTACATGAGCATGTTTATTTCTCTCAAAGTGGGTGAACATGCATATAGATATGCACAGACATTCATTAAAAAATGAGTTAAAGAAAGGCCAATTGAAGGAGGTTTTATATCCTTAGAGCAAGGAAGTGTTTCCTTCTCCCTCCCTTCTTGATTCAGGATGCCTGTGTCAGCCAAAACTGTAGTTTCCACATCTGTCAGCCATGTCATAAAACAGGAATGTCATAACAGGATAGTGTCCATAAAACATCAAGATAAGGAAAGTGTCAGTTAATCAAGATAGTGTCTGGTTCAAGGTGTCTGGTCCTTATCAGTCATAACAGAAGAATGATCCTGGACAGCTTCGTCCAGCCTTGTGATTGCTGACACAGAGGGGAGCATTTTGAGTTCACTCAGACAGCATGCAAAACATTATGACAGGTTAACTCAGAGTGGACAAAAAATGTCTTTCTTCTCATTGTGATTGGGGTGGAGGGCTCAAGTTGGTTTAGCCAGTTTACTTTGTTAACAATATGAATCTCATTTCAAAAGTCTCTCTTATAGAAGCTGTAGTTACTGTTAGTTACTATAATTTTAAGAGCCAAATGCAATGTATAGGACTTGACACTTGGGGCTGGCAGATTTTGGGAAATTGAGAAAAGAGAGTTAATGGAGATTGTTTGGAGAAAACTGCACAGAGGACAGAGAGAAAGAGGATGAGAAAACCTAAACTGTTAAGAGTGATGGCCTGAAAGAAGCTGAAGAGGCTGTCTTCCAGTTACGGCTAGAAAGATGCTGGAGAAAACAGAGAAAAAGAGGATGAAGAGGCATTTTCTGATGGAACCATTTAAACCTTTACCTTGTAAAGAGAATGAAGACAATTCTTGTTAAGAGATGTTGTTTGGTATCTTGAGTAAATTGAATGATGGAATTGTGTTTCCAGAGGTATGGAGAAGTCATTTGCAGTTACAGTGATGGTCAAAGGTAACTTTGACTATGATCTTTCTTGAAGCTAAAATATTTTAAATAGTCATTTATATCTTTGAGTTATCATTACTTACTGTGTTAAAAAATTATATAGCCAGTAACTTTAATATTTATTTAATCCTAGAAGATGAGAGCAGCTGCTTATAGGGGGAAGAGTTTTTTCCAGTTTATTAAATAAATAATGTTGAATAAAATGAGGCATGTAACTTAATTAATTAATGAGAGATATGCCACAATTTAGTGATTAATGAAGAAATACCCAAACATACTCCTAGATTGTCTGAGAATTTAGGATGATGAGAATGAATACAGTAAAAAGTCAAGCAGAAGGCTAACAGGTAACATATTAGTGGGATTTCATGACCAATAACTCCTTGCTACAAATAGAACAGAGTTCCATGTATCAGTCAATCAACAAGCAATTATTAAGCATCTACTATATGCCAGACCTTGTGCTAATCACTGAAGATACAAAGACAAAGGAGAAACAATCTGAGTCCTTAAAGAGTTTATAATTAAATGAGGGAGACAGAATGAACATTTATAAATGTATAAAAACCCCACACAAAACAGTTAGAAGAGAAGCATGCATTTGTTCAAGTCTCTCATATTAACCTTGTGTTTAAGAGGAAGAGAAATGCAATAACCTGGAATTCAACCTAGTTGAATGGTCTAACCCAAAGAGTGATTATTATGGAATCAGTTTGTGTTTGGCTCTGGGCCGTTCAAAATTTTTAAGAATTACTTGGAAAGCATAGATGCCATTCTTAGGAAATAGGCATATCACACACAAAACTGGGAGAGATAATTAGCACCTTGGATTATAGGATCCCCAAAAGATCTCAATAGATTAGAATGAGAGAAATATAAAATAAATTTTATAGGACATGCAAAAGTTCTGGACATGAATTAAAAGCAATAAACCGTCCAAATATGAGATGGGAGAGATAAGTGTAAAAAGTCTAGTGGTTTCAGAGGACCAAAGCTCAATGTGATTCAATAGTGTGACATGACCACCACCAAAGCTAATGAGGCCCTTTGCAGCATTAAGAGAGGAATAATTTCCACAAGGAAAGAGGTAATGAAATCGATATATTCTGCCATGGTCAGATCACATCTAAAGTATTGTGTTATTTCTGGACAGAATATTTTAGAAAGGATGTCCCCAAGAGGTTGACGAGAACTAGAGATCATACCAAATGAACATCATTTGAAGAAACTAGGGGATATGTAGTCTGATGAAGAAAAGACTTAGAAGAGACACAATTGCATTTCCAATTATTTGAAGGAAGTATTTGAAGTGGAAGGGGGGTTGGATTTGTTCTGTTTGATGCTAGAGGGTAGAACAAGCAGCAAAGCAGGTATGTTACAGAGTGGCAGATTTAAACTCAATGTTAAGAGAAAATGTTCTATAAGCTTTGTGTCAGGACATCTCAGAGATACCAAGTTCACTTTGGGGAATTTCTCATCTCTCTTTGCAAAATTACTACCTGGTACCACTTGTTGAGTTTATACCAACTTCCCTAGAAAGTTTTTGAGTTTACAAAATTTATTTAGTAAAGTTTTTTTTTTAAAGTTATAAGAAGAGAAAACAAAACTCACTGAAGAGCTCCCAGCAGGTGGTATCTGGCTTTGTTTCCCATAATGCTTCCTCCTTCAGTCCTGTACAGTTCCTTGTACCAGGTTTCTCTCTAAGTCAGGAGTTGGTAGTTCTCAGCAGACAGCTTTAGTGTCTAGAATTCTCTTCAGACCAAATCTATTGGGTGCTGTCCCAGTGTGCTGGATAGGGACATGATTCCAGGATGTCCCTTTTTCTGGGGGAAAGACTCTCACATCGCACCTCTGGAAATAGAGTTCCAGACTGGGAATTGACTTGCCTTGGGTCTAACTCCCTTTACTCTTATCCATACTACAACACTCTCCAACCCTCCACCTTGGTCCTGGTCTCAGAAAAGTTTGTCCAGGGAACTGGAATCCCACTTCTCTCTATCTCAAAGAGGGTTCCAGTTACCAATACCAGGTTCAGCTGTCAAATACAAATTTTTTTTAAAAAGGAATTTTAGTTTATTTTTCCAATCAAGTTAAGAAACATTTATTAAGACATTACATGCCAGACACTGTGCTAACCATTGTGAATACAAATACTTGCAAAAAAGAGAGACGGTTTTCAATCAACAAATATTTATTTCCTCTCCTTCCCATCACCTCACCCTCTCTTCAGATATTGAGGTGGGGAAAAGAGAAAAAAAACTCCAAACAACCTTGTAACCAATATGCATAGTTAAGCAAAACAAATTCCCACATTGGCGATGTTCAAAAAATGTCCTCTTCTGTGCCTGAGTCCGTCACCTCTCTATCAGGAGGCATGTCTCATTATGTGCTATACTTACCCAGTCAATTTCGTTGATTGACTTTTCTGCTTGTTAATTAATACCAAGTAGTTTTTTTTTTTTATTTCTGCCTTTGAGTATGGGCTGAAATTTGATCCTGTCAAGGCCCTTTATTCCTATTTTATTTCATGATTTTCCTTGAGATTTTTAAAATTTTCTTCCTTCAGATGATTTTTATTCATAGTTTGTCTAGTTCTCTAAATTAACCCCTTGGGAGTTTGATTGGTACATGATTAAAGCTGGAAATTAGGTGAAGCAGTATCTCTAGACTTAGCTCCTCAATGGTGCTGAGCTTTGTATGTCTGGATACTGGCCTCTTCCCTGAACATCTCCAAACTTTAAGAAGGGTGTTCCAGGCCCTGCAATGGCAGCTGTGAGAGGCTGTTCAAATGCCTCTGGGGCTTGGAGTAAGCCCTTCAGTCAGACTTATGCTGTGGTCTCCTCAGCCTCACTTCTTTCTTCCTCTCATGCTAACCCTGCCCCCCCGTGGGGGATGGGCAGGCACCACTGCTTTTAGCCTTCTTAAAGACAGCTCCCTCTGAGTAGAAGTCATATCCATTTAGACATAATCAACCTGGGGTTATAGCTGCCTGGACCTCACCACACTTCCTGAAACCTATTCCTTACTCTTCTAGAGTAGGCAGGATGTTTATCGGGCCCCCCAATACTCTTGCCAGGGCCTATCTTCTGGAATTGTTCCTTTTCATTCTACCAGGTATTTATGTCCTTATCGTGCTCTTCCCCTCTTCCTGGATCTCTGTGTTGAACTAAGTTTCTTATCATTTCCCAGGTATTTCTTTTCCACATTGTTCTCCATTCTTCCTTTCCTAGTGGTCTGATTGCTTAGCTTAGATTCTTCTTACTTTCAGCTATCTATGTTCTTCTCCTGGGCATCCAGCTCCCAAGGATCTCTGTCCTGGTTCCCCAACTTTCCTTCCAAGTTGACTCAGTAAGATTAACCTTACTCTTCTATATATTCTTTGCAGGATTCTGGGCCCAAGTGCGGCTGGTGGAAACAGGTGGCAAATTGATCCATGAGGGCCAATCTGTGACCCTGACCTGTACAGCTTCAGGGCTCAGCTTTAAGGACTTTTCCATGTCTTGGCACCGGAGTTCTGGCACTGGAGGCTCAAAGGAGTTTGTGGCTAGCATCACGGCTGGGAGAGGCAGCACCAAGGAGTACAGGAAGGGCATGAAGGGTAGAGTTATCATTTTCAGGAAAAATGAGGCTAACACAGTCTCCTTGACTCTGCACTGGTTACAAAAGGAGGACTCTGGCATCTACTACTGTGCCAGCCTCACCATATTGGGGCTAAGGCAGAGGCCCTGACATAAACCTTCTGGTCTGGGACTGAAACTGAGGCCACAACTGCTGCTGCTTTGCGCAACCAATTAACCCACATGAGAGACTTTGTACCAGTCTGGCTAATGTGTGTGTGTGTGTGTGTATTTCAAGGAGTAAAAAGGCTTCTCTTACAGTTTTCACTGCCTTTCCACATCCCCAGTGACTCTAGCTATTGCCTTGTACTCATTTCATGCCCTGCTCATCTATCACTCCATTCCTAAAGGGGAGTGGAAGGTGACCACATTTTCTGGGGTCAAGATCTGAGGACCAAATGCTGGCTTAACTTGGGGTAAATAATGTCTACATTCAGGTTGGATACTGACCCAAATCCTGTCCTGATCTAAAGATTTCTTCTCCACTCCCATTATGAGTCTAACCCTGCAATTGGCAGAGGGACAAACAAACCTAGGCCCTGCTCTGGGGATTGTATAGAAAAAGCAGAACTGGTCTCTGGGGGTTGTATAAAAAAAGCAGAACTTGTCTCTGCCCCTGGGGAACTCAAGGTCTGGAGACTTACTGATTGGGCTTTGCCCTCAGGAAGCTTTGCTTAAAATAACTTTGTGAGGTAGAGGGTCCAAGTCTAAGCATTCCCATTTCAAGGCTATTTCCTTAAATTCCCATTTAAAGATGAGGTCTAGTAAGGAGAAGAGACTTGCTTGGAGCCACAGATCCAGTAAGCAGCAGACTGGACACTCTGAAATGCTGCTGAGCGTCCTGACTACTGGCCCCATACTGGGCCAGCAACTGCACCCCTCTCCCAACCCATATAGGCCAATGCATGACTAATTTCTGGCTTATAAGACCTCAGGGAAGTTCTGACCCACAGAGTTCCCCAAATGTTTCACCCTGACATACGCCAAGGGAGGAGGGGATAGCTTTCAGAAACTTACTAATATCACCAAGTGCCTTTATTGCTCTTTCTGCTCAGAACCACGAACAGCTCAACAGGCCAGCAAGTTGTGCAAGACTCACCCAGGGACTACAGAAAGCAACAAGTAGCCCACCCTCAGACCCACAAGGAGGGACACCCATTGACATCTGCTCCCTGCAGCCCAGTGGTTCCAGTGCACCTAAGCCCCATCTGGCTCCTGTTCTCTTACCTACCAAAGACTCCCACATTCTGTGTAGTCCTAATGTGAAGACCCAGTTTTCCCAAGTTACTCATTGTTTAGCTGTAGTGTGCGAAAGAGACAGCTGTGCTATCCTTCATAAGGCAGTTCACTCAGGAAAAGCTGGATTAATGAAGAAAGATTGTAGTAGGGCCTTGATGGAGGGTTAGGGGCAGGTTTAAGAGGGTACCGAGAGCAGAAAGACAGTTGTAAACAAAAGAACAGAGTCTGGGATGAGCTCAACCTGCTCAGCCTCTCAGACTAACCTTATTAAACCCAGGTACAGTCAACCTCTGCCCACAAATTCAAAATGGTTGCTTATCACAGGATAAGGCCCAAGCTTCTTGGTCTGCTCTTGAAAGAAATTCCAAGAGAAATTTCCATTTCTTGAAAGAAAATGAGTGTGTGGCCATTGTTTACCCTCTAAATTTGGTTGTCTTTCAGGGCTGTCTTTATTTATAACATGGTAGTTATTGTATATATTTTTATTTTTGGTCTGCTTTCTTCATTCTGCATCAATTCATACAACTTTTCTCACAGTTTTCTGAATTTTTCATATTTTCCTTATGCTGCAATAATATTTTAGTGCATTCATATGCTACCATTTGTTCATCCATTCCTAATTCAGTAGGCACATACTTTGTCTTTAGCTCTTTACTACTTCTCAAATAAGGTTTCTATGAATATTTTGGTATGGATGAGAGCATTCTATCATTGGCTTTCTTATAATAGAGACCCAGCAGTGGATTTCTTAGATGAAAGCAACTTTTCTTGCTTGATTTCCTCAATGGGAATTATTGGACCAATTCACATCTCTATGAGAGTGCATTAGTCTATCTATCTTCTCATAGTCCTTCCAACATGGGCTATTTCTATCTTTTACTATCTATTTTTCAAATTTGATATGTGTAAAGTGACACTTTAGAGTTGTTTTAATTTGAATTTGTTGTATTATTTGGAATATTTTAATATGGTTGTTGACTATTAGGCTTATGAATATATATTAATTCTCTTGATTTTGAACATTAGATTATTATCCAAGAAATCTGATAAAATATTTTTTTCAATTCATACCATCTTCCCTTTTCCTAGATAAATCAGTATGATATACATAGACAAATGATAAGCAAAATGATATACACAGACACTGGAATCAGGGACTGGTAATAGAGGAAGAATACAAAAGTGTGATATGCTGTTCTAGATTTGAGGGACTAATTCCAATGATTGGATAGGTGATCAGATTCTCCTGCCCACTCTCCAACATTTATCAGCTAATGCTTTCTAAATGAATAGTTCTTTGGTAAAAATTACTTCCTTACCACTAAAAGATGAAAACAAAATCCAATATACACATAACTCATCTTTGTAGTGAGATCTGTTGAAGGATATTTGTTTTTATTATAATTTTATACTGCAATATTATAAGTTATTGCAGAGAAGAATTACAACCAGTTGGATTTCAGGTAGCTAGGAGGTATTAGGAGCATCAGTATTTCCCAGAACCACCTGGGATATTTACAGATGAAGGGATAATTCTTTCAGGCCTGTAGAGTTTCTTCTGGTCAAGCACCAGCCTTTTTCATGTTGTTGTAGTTATTGAGTCATTCAGTTGTGTCTGACTCTTTGTGATCCCATGGACTTGTCCATGGGGTTTTCTTGGCAGAGATACTGGGAGTGGCTTGCCATTTCTTTCTTTAGTGTGTCCCCATTTTACAGAAGAGAAACTGCAGCAAATAAGGGTTAAATAACTTGCCCAGGGTCACACAGCTAGTTTGTGTCTGAAGTTGGGTTTGAACTCAGATTTTTCCTGATTCTAAGCCAAGCACTATCTATCTGCCTATCATGTTAATGTAATTATTATATTAATTGTTCTTCTGGTTCTGCTTAGTTTAGTCACCATCAGTTTATAAAAAGCTTTCCAGGTTTCTCTTCATCTGTCCTTTTCATGATTACTTATGACTGTGCTAGCCTTCTCTACACGAGTATAAGCATGAGGGGAACAGGATGGGTCTTAGGCAGTAATGTTATTTAAGTAATGTTTGCTACTGCTTTTATAGAGAAGAAACTCTGCTTTTGATGTTAGTCCTCATCAGTGAGGCCCACACTTTTTAAGTGTTCTTAAAGATTTAAGAGCACAAATTGATCAGGCAATATATAACTAGGCAATCTTTTTTTTTGAGTGCTAATTGTCTAGAGCACATGTATCTAAGCCATGGAGGATTTTTTCCTTGCTAACGATTGGTCATGGTTGCCTCATTGAAGCAACTTGATTTTGGCACAAATCCAAAGCTCACAGAAGTTTTAGACTTAACTGCTTGCCCTCTAGGGAGAAACTTATGATGAGTAGTCCTCATAATTAATCTAATGATGATATATAGTTGGCAGCATTGGTGGTAGTACTTATCTCAAGATTGGCAGTCTACTTAGCTTGGATACTAATAAGTATACTTGGAATGATCTTTATAGAACAAGATAGAATACAGAATAGCTAATACTATCTTAGGGAGAGGAGCAGAAAATAGAAGAAAACAAAAACTTGTTGCACTTCTGACAAGCAAACATAAAAGTTTACAAGTGGATTTGTTTAAAAGAAAACAATTAACTCTTAACATGCAAACTAGAATAATCACAATAAATCATGGCTCTTATAAGAATTTCTTTTTTGTAGCAAGATGGAAGTTGCACTTGCAATTTCTGTGTACAATAATTAAAAGTAATGATAATGATAACAACAACAACAATAATGGCTTGATTTATCACAACTTCATTTATATAGGTAGAATTTTATACATAATAACACCACAGAACTTCAGGTTGGTCACAGAAGTCAAAATAAAGCACTGGTTGATGAAAAAGAGGTCACTCAGTATATATACTTCTGTAAGAAAAGTGTCAACAGTGCTAATATTAGAATCAGGTGAGGCTGATATGGAAAGTTAAGGACAATAATAAAAAGTTTTTTTTTAAAAAGAAGCTATATTAGGGGAGAGGATTCTGGGAAGATGGTGGAGTAGGTCGGAAAATTCCAAGCTCTCCAGATTCCTCCTACAAACAAGACACAATAACATATCAGGTGAAAGTAGAACAGTTAAAATAAACAAAAGTTGGGGCAGGATAGTGGTCCTCCTGGGACAACTGGAGAAGATCCAAAGAATAATCCCAGGATTGAGGTTTGGTCCCTGTGAAGTGTAAACACCTTCAAGCTAGTTCCACTGAAACAGCTAGTAGTGAGCAGTAGGGCTAGCTGGGTGGGAGATAGCCTTGGTCCCAACCACAGGAATTTTCACCTTATGGGCAGTGTGGGGAGTTGGATGTCTGAGCCAAGGTGAGAGGGGGAAGATTGAAGGAACCTCTGTTGGTAAGGGATGCCAGACCTAGCTATGCTGCTGAGAAAGGGTACCAGCACATGCTGGTGAGTCCAGAAGCAGTGGGGCAGGGATGCTGCTGGCTGTGAGTACTTATAGGAGGGCAGAGTTCTTGGTTTTGGTTTGAGGCCAGAGGTGAGAACTGAAGGAGGATCTGAGGCCAAAGGCACCATCCACATACCCTAGGACTAGAGGCAATTACAGTAATAAACTGCTACAAATAAAAAAATGAGCAAGCAAAGGAGAAAGAACCCAACTATAGAAAGTTACTATGGGAATAGAGAAGACTGGGGTTCATCTTCAGATGAAGCAAAAAAAGCTTCTCCTACTCCAAGGAGTAATGTCAAATGGTCACCTGCCCAAAAAGAATTCATAGAAGAACTTTAAAAAGACTTTAAAAATCAAATGAGAGAGATTGAGGAAAAATTAAAAAACAAAGAACAATCCAAGAAAAACAAGAAGATTATGAAAAGAAAGTCAACCAACTTGGAAAGGAAATCTAGAATCTTTTTTTTTTTTTTGGCTAGGCAATGGGGTTACATGACTTGCCCAGGGTCACATAGCTAGTAAGTGTTATTTGTCTGAGGTCAGATTTGAACTCTGGTCCTCCTGACTCTATCCACTGTGCCACCTACCTGCCCCTGGAAATCTAGTATCTTAGGGAAGAAAATGACTCCTTGAAAATTAGAATTGAGCAAGGGGAAGCCAGCAAAGTTATAAGACACCAAGAAATAATAAAACAAAATATAAAGAATGAAAAAATAGAAGAGAATGTGAAACATCTCATAAGAAAAACAACTGATCTGGAAAACAGATCAAGAAGAGAAAACATGACTAAACAGACTACTTGAAAGCTATGATCAAAAAAAGAATCTTGATACAATAATACAAGAAGTCATTATAGAAAATTGTCCTGAAGCATTAGAACAACAAGGGAAAGTAGAAATGGAAAAAAATCAACCAATCACCACTTGAAAGAGATCCTATGAAGAAAACCTACAGAAATATCATAGTCAAATTCTGAAACCCCTAGCTCAAGGAGAAAATATTATGAGGAACAAGAAAAAAATTCAAATATGGCAGATCCACAATTAGAATCACACAAGATCTAGCAGAAATGACACTAAAAGACCACAGGTCTTGCAACACTATATATCAAAGACAAAAGAACTGGGATTGTGGCCAAAAATATAATATCCAGCAAGGTTTAGCATAATCTTGAATTAAAAAAAATTGGCATTCAATGAATTGTCAGACTTTCAGGATTTTATTGCAAAAAGACCTGAACTTAATAGAAAATTTGACTTACAAGATTCAAGAGAAATATAAGGCAAACATTAAAAACTAATTACAAGGGATTCAATAAAGACAGACTATTTCCTTTTCATACAAGGAAATGTAAACTGTATGTCTAAGATTGTGATTAATAATTGGGTAGTTTGAAAGAAAGACTGGAGTAGAACTGAGTAAGATGTGATTCTGAAAAATAATACCATCTAGGAAAAGGTAAAAAAAAAGTAATTATCTTATACAAATGAGGTGTGAAAGGAAGAAATGACACAAAGGAAGTAGATGGGGGAGGAGGGTTGGTAGTTCTGGAACCCTACTCTCATTGGGAATGGGTTAAAGAGGGAACAACACATACATACATACATACATACACATATATACACACACATATATACACATACATATATACACACATATCTATCTCTCTATAAGAGTATAAGAGTCTTCTAAATTTAGAAAGAAATAAAGGCTAAGGGGATAGGGAGAGGGGAAAGATTTTCAGAGGGTGATGGAGTAGGATAAGATATGATATAGAAAGGTGTCTAGATTAATGGGAATAGGATAAAGAGGGAATAACATATCTTTGGAAAGCTATAAAAGTCTTCTAAATTCAGACAGAAAGAAGAGAGTAAGGGGCAAGGGTAGGGGGATAGGATAAGGGAGGAATCTTTGGAGTGGGTTGGGTTAAGTAATAGGATGGCAAGGTATCAGTTAGAAACAAAGTGAAGGAGTCAGGAGGGATACGAAATAAGAGATACACACAAACATAAAATAAAGATCAGGAGTAGAATTTATTCAGAATAAAAGCAGGGATAATAATCATGATCTCAGACAAAGTTAAAGCTAAAATAGATTTAATCAAAGGAGAAAAATAGGGAAACTACACTATATGTCAGCCATATTAATCAATATTGTTTTAGACTATTTAAAATAACTAGATAGTATAAGATTGGAATATTGCCGTGGTGTAGGAAATGATGAGTTGGTGGACTTAGAAAAATATGGGAAGACTTTGACTTATGAAGGAAGATGTTATCTACCCTCAGAGAAACAGAGGACAAACAAGTATAGTGTGGTCTTACATAGATGCATATGAATGTATATATCTATATATGAGTATGATTATATATGTCTAAGTATATGTATGTGTATGTATATATATATTTATGTGTATATTTGCATATATGTATGTGTGCGTATATCTATGTCTATACCTATCTATCTATCTATCTATCTATCTGTATGTGTGTGTGTGTCTATATATCTAAATATCTCCTTGCTTAATTGTAGCCTTCTTGGGGGTGGGGAAGAAGGGCAAAAAAAGAACAAAGTAAAAAGTGCACAGCAGAGAACAAAAGAAAACTTACAAGGAAGCAAAGAAAAGAAGCACAGCTCTGAACACAATCTATAATATTTATTATATAGGCTTTCTTGAAATGGAAATTTATTGTTGTATATTTTGAATCCTCTCATATTCTGCTGTTCACATGGCAATGCTTTCTTTTCTTATTCTGTTTTTTTTTTAGTATTTAATATGTTTCTTTTTCTTTTCTTATTGTTCATTTAAGCTTTAGTATTTAAATTTAAAATAAAATAATAATAAGAAAGAAGCTGTATTGGGTAAATGAAGAAGATTAAGGAAAGGATAGGATGGCTTCTCAGGATGGATGAAATGATGATAATTGAAGAGAGACAGAAGACAGAGAATCTCAATTCTTAATTTGATTCAATTTTCTCTGTGAAGAGGAAGGATCTTTGGAGTAGAAAGAACTGAACACAAATGGCTAATGGGGGCAGATACCTACAATGAGTAAGGAACTTGGGAGAGATAACCTAACTGTTCTTGATGAATTAAAATCATCTGGCCCACATGAGTTATGTCTTTAGGTACTGAAAGGATGAACTAGACAGATATTTAGGCTGAGAACCTGATTTCTTTGTATGTTTGGATTTTTCCTAACTGGGGGCTCAGAACAATTGTTATTGAACTCATAATTTTTTGCCTAAAATAAATTCTCTTAGGCTGCAAAGGAGCAATCTACATAGACCTTAGTGAGCATTATATTACCCCTGGGCTCAAAACAAATGCATATATGTGCATGCACAAGCATGTGCAGACACTTGCACGCTCCCTCAACTCCTCCCCCAACACCCCTCTTCTCCCTGATTGCTGCAAACCAAGTTTAGCCCTCCCTACTAAAAAAAAAAAACAAATAGAAAATGGTTAAGATAAACTAATGAGATCTGACAATGTGTGCAACATTCCTATTTCATCTTTCAACCCAAAGAGGCAGGTATATTTCATTATGTCTTTTCTGTTATCATTACTTAAAGTTTGGTTTCACTTACTGTTCTTTTCATTTATATAATTGTAGTCACTGTGGATATTTTTCTCCTGATTCTGCTTACTACCTTCTGCATTATTCTTTCTATGTTTTGTGAATTCCTTATACTTTCCATTTCTTACAGCATAAAAACACTCCATTACATTTATATAGGGCACTAATTTGTTTCTGGTTTTGATGTTAACATGGGCAGATGGCTCCAATGGAATGTCCAAGAGATTTCTTATCTGTTTGACCATTTTCTGTTCAACATGTTTACCAATGACTTGGTTAATGGCAAAGAGAGCAAATTAGTCAAATTCACATATTGCCTGAAGTTGGGAGCATTTTTGTTTCCTTCTGTATTCTTAGTCCTTCACTTCTCCATCAGAAGGTAAGTAGTACATTTCATCATTAGTCCTCTGGAACCATGGTTGGTCATAATGCTGATAAAAATTCAACACAGTATTCTATCTTATTTATATACCATAACTTGTTTGGTCACTCCCCAATTTATGGGTACTCCCTCAGATTCCTAGCTTTTGCCACCTCAAAAAAGAGCTACAAATGCTTTTGCACATCCTTAGAGTTTGTTTTCCCTTTATGGATCACTGCCTTGTTGTGGTGGAGGGGCATGACTAGCTTAATGAAACTATGAGCTATGCCACGCATGGTTACCCAAGACAGACAGGTCAGTGGAAAGTTCTGACAAAAGGTGATTCACTGGAGAAGGAAATGACAAACCACTCCAGTATCTTTACCAAGAAAACCCCCATGGATAGTATTAAAATGATAAAAGATATGACACTGGAAGATGAACCCCTCAGATTGGAAGGTGCCTGACACAGTACTAGGAAATAGTAGAGGATAACTACAATTAGCTCCAGAAAGAATGAAGTAGCTGGGCCAAAGCCAAAAGGAAGTTCAGCTGCAGATGTGTCTGGTGATGAAAGGGAAGTCAGAGGCTGTAAAGGTCAACATTGCACAGGAACCTGGAATATAAGATCTATGAACCAAGATAAGCTGGATGTGGTCAAACAGGAGATGAAAAGATTAAACATTGACATCTTAGGAGTCAGTGAATTTAAATGGATGGGAGTGGGTGAATTTAATTCTGGTGATCATTACATATACTACTGTGGGCAAGAATCCCTTAGAAGAAATGGAGTAGCCCTCCTAGTCATTCATTGTTTTCCTTCATTCTCAAAAAGGACCAAAATGACACCACTTTGTTGGAATTACGGTACAGTGTGTCTGACTGTGGCTGATCAGACCAATATGAGCTCAGAAAGCTCTACCATAGGTTGGGCACAAATAGTTTGCATGAACATTTGGGGTGGAGATGTCACTAGATTTGTGTATCTCACATTTCTTTTGAGCTACTGCAATTCTGTTTCACTCAAGAGCACAGCACCTTCTTTGATGTGGGCATGCCATGCTAGACAGTCCTTTGCCAGTGCCTCCCATGTCTCACAATTGGTTCCAAAGTTATTCAGAGAGACCTTGAGAGTGTCTTTATATCACTTCTTCTGACTCCCATGTAAGTGCTTGCCTTGTGTGAGTTCTCCATAAAATACTCTTTTAGGCAAATGTATATTTGGCATTCGAACAACATGGCCAGCCCATCAAAGTTGTGCTCTCTGCAGTAGAGTCTGAATGCTTGGCAGTATAGCTCAAGAAAGAACTTCAGTGTCTGGTATCTTATCATGCCAGGTGATCTTCAGAATCTCCCTAAGAGAAATCAAATGGAAGTGATTCAGTTTCCTGGCAAGGCACTGGTATACTGTCCAGGTTTCACAGGAATATAGCAGTCAGTTAAAACAAGACCTGGAGCTGACTGTGGCTCAGCTCATGAGTTTCTTATTGAAAAATTCAGACAAATTGAAGAAAGTAGGGAAAACCATCAGAACATAAAGGTATGACCTAAATAACATCCTTTATGAATATGAAGTGGAAGTGATGAATAGATTTAAGGGACTAGATCTGGTAGATAGAGTGCCTGAAGAATTATGGACAGAGGTTCCAATATTGTATAGGAGGCAGCAACAAAAAAAATCTGAAAGAAAAAGGAGAGCAAGAAAGCAAAATGATCATCTGATAAGGCTTTACAAGTAGCTGAGGAAAGAAGGAAAGGGATAGGAAAAAGAGAAAGGGAAAGATATACCCAAATGAATGCAGAATTCAAAGAATAGCAAGGAGAGATAAGAAAGTTTTCTTAGATGAACAATGCAAAGAAATAGAAGAAAACAATAGAATGGGAAAGATGAGAGATCACTTCCAGAAAATTAGAGATATCCAGGGAATGTTTCTTGCAAAAATGGGCATTATAAAAGACAAAAGTTGTAGGGACGTAACATAAGTAGAAGAGGTAGAAAGAATACACAGAAAAACCATGCAAAAAAGATCTTAACATCACCATTAACCACAATGGTGTGGTTACTGATCAAGAGTCAGATATCCCGGAGAATGAAGTCAAGTGGGCATTAGGAAGCATTGTTAACAATAAGGCTATAGTGGAGGTGACAGAATTACACCTGAGCTACTTCAAATGCTAAAAGATGATGGTGTTAAAGTGTTGACCTTGATATACCAGAAAATTTGAAAAACTCAGCATAGGATTGAAAAAGATCAATTTATGTCATGTCTGACTCTCCATGACCCCATTTGGGGTTTTCTTGGCAGAGACACTGGAGCATTTTGCCATTTCCTTCTCCAGCTCGTTTTACAGATGAAGAAACTGAGACAAACAGGGTTAAATGACTTGCCCAGGGTCACACAGCTAGTAGGTGTCTGAAGCCAGATTTGAACTTAGGAAGATGAGTGTGACTCCAAGCCTGGCATTACATCTGCTGTGCTATTTAGCTGACCACTACCCCTACCCCAAACCTAGCTGCCTTCCATGGACATTTTAGTCTTCTAAAAAATCCAGTATTCCAATTTGCTTTCAGAATGGTTGGAACATTTAATTCATAGCTCGACCAACAGTATCTTAGTGTGCCTACCAAAATGGAAGTCCTTCAACTATTAACTCTTTTTAAATTTTGCCATATTTGCTAGTTTTCTGAGTATGAAATGAAACCTCAGAGTTGTTTGGTTTTCACTTCTCTGCTATTAATGCTTTGGAGTTTTCTTTCATATAGTTGTTACTAGCTTGAAATTCTTTTGGGAATTTTTGCTCCATATACATTGGCCACAGAGCCAGCAGGCAAATGATTTGCTGAGTCTGTGCATCCTTTGAAAGGTGTCTTTAGTTATGAGCTTCTATTTTTCCCAAAAGGGGCCTGCTTGTGCATCCTCTTTGGAGTCTGTACATGCTCCATATGGACCCAAGCATTCTTTATGGGGATCTAGCCTTTATTGTAAGGGGGCTATGCTTCATTTGGAATGACAGATAAATTCTCAACAGGGCTTATGCATCCTCTCTAGAAACCTGTGCATCCCTTGTAAGGGCTTCTACATTATTTCCATGTCAGTTTATGTTCCGTTTAGCCTGTGCCTCCCCTGTAGGGATGTGCATGTCTTCAGTAATTGCTTCTGCAGACTCTACAGGTGCCTATGAAACTTCTAGGAGTACTTCCCCTAGGGACTGCCTCTGCTGGGGTTTAGGGTGAGCTATTTGTCACTGTGTTATTTCAGTGGAAGCCACAGTGACACAACCTTAGAAGCATTTGGGGCACAAACTAGCAAGCCTCTTGGAGCGAGTAAGAAGTGTGTGTGTGTGTGTGTGTGTGTCAATGAATGATCCCTGTGCTTCATTCTTACTTGGACCTGAGTACGTTCTGACTCTTTGTTCAAGGTCACAAGATTGCTGAGGCTTTCTTGACTTTAGGCTCTTCATCTCAAACCCAGGGTGTCTGGGCTAGACTAAAGGGGATGATGCTGCAGCCTAAGAGAGGGGCCCTAGAGCAAGTCCTAGGCAGCTTAGGTGGACAATGTCAGTCACAGTCATGGGGAGCTAACTGGGTCATTCTTGCTTCTTTCCCCCAAATTGAGCAAATCCTTTCTAATAAGCCACTGCTGGCCTTGATCACCTGAGGGGAGGAAAACTCTTCAGGTTTTTGAAAGGCTGCCAAGTGGAAGAGAAATTAGACTCCTGCTTGGCAATCAGAGGTGGAATTAAGCACAAGGAGAAAGAAGTTTCAGGGGGCAGATTTTGAAGGGAATAGTTTCTGACTAATCTGAGTTATGCAAAAGTGCAGTGATCTACCTTGGATGAGAGTGATGGAGTGATGGATTCACCATCACTGACATTTTCAAGTGAAGGTTAGAGGTCTATTTATTGGCATTGTTGTAGATAGGATTCCTATTTAGTCACAGATTGGTTAGTTCTCCCTTTGCACTCTCTCTCTCTCCCAGCCAGGTTCTCCTCTTTGTTTTTGTTCTCACCACCTTAGTAGCGTGGCTACTCATAAATACCCAGGTGAACTCTTTGAATAATCTCTAAAAACAGCTATTCTTGCTTCTTCTCACGTGCTCATTCCACCCTTCAGTCCACCCCACTGTCCAGCTGAATCGCCTTGTATATATAAGAAGGCTAATTACCTTTTCCCCCTAAACCCACTCTACTTTCTGACTTTGCAGCTTCTGTCCATGGCACCACCATTCATCAGAATGCTATGTGAAAAGTCTGAGTGATCTTGGTCTCTTGGCTCTGCTTTATCACTCACATCCAGTAAGTTACCGGGTCCTGTCATATCCATCTCTGCAAACTCTCTTAAACCTGCCCCTCCTTCTCTTTATTCCAAACACTGCTATCATTTTAGACCAAAATCCTCATGATCCCCTTTCTGGACAATTGCAATAGCTTCTTAATGGGTCTTCCCATTCTCACTCTCTCCCCTCTCTTATCCACTCTTCACACTGCTGTTAGAATCATCCTTCCTATTCTTAGAATCTTTCTTATTCTTACAAGATCGCCTCTCTCCTCTGTTTAAAGTGTAAAAGTAATTACTTCACTTCAATAAGGTGGC